TGGGAACAATTTTTTGTGGTTGAATTAAAAATAAAAGCGCATTTCTTTAAAAAGATACATAATACAAAAAAATACTCTTATTGAGAATATAAAATAATTCCTAATAGAATAAGAAATAATTCTTTATGCCTTACAAAAATGATTCAAATATTTGACATTCTACGAGTGAACAGTATCCCAACCTGTCATAAAAACTTCTGATGACACATAAAAAAATTTCTGCTGTAACAGAAATAGAGACTTCTCTTATTCGGTTTTTTTATTTATCAAAATTTTGATGATGCTTTGAATGATCGTAGATAATGCTTTATAAATAACCCAAAAAAGGAAGACCATAAGTGTACGATCTGAAGATCGCGCAGGCCACTTAATATCGCCTGTTTCACTCATAACTCGATTCGAGAAAGTATTGTTTAAGTACTCTCTAATTATTCGAGCGTTGTGAACTAAACAGCCATCTTGATGAAACCAAACATTCTCCAGATTTACATCATGAAGATTGAGAATAGCTGGAAGAACATGATTCCGTAACAAATCGAGGTATACTCTACACTTCAGACATTATTTTTTGAGGAGGTTGTTCGGTAAACAACACTTCTGTGCTGGTTTTCCCATGCCCAATACCTCGTAATAAAAGGATTGTGTCTGCCTACTAACGAAACAGAAGATTTATCAGTGAATAAAATACTTTTAATAAAATTAGCCTGTGGTATTAGAGTTTCACAAAACTTCATTCTTCGAAAGTAGTCGTGACAGCTGCATTTTCGAATATTTAAAATTCTTGTAACCGTGCTTTTTCTATACTTTCGTTATACTTCTACTTGAATGTGTAGAATCTACCTCGATTGTTGCACAAATTTGTGTATCCCGGTATTCTCTTTCCTCAAATATTTCTGGTGATACTTCTTGAGCGTGGCATTTTCTGTAATTTTTGAGGCAAAATTTTTAACAATATTATGAATTGACTATACGCAAGCAATTGGTCTCCCCTCAAACCACACAGAAAATAAATCTACACACCCTTGTCCAGAATTACCACCATTACACTATGTTATTATTTGAACCTTTTCTGCCGGTATATAAAGAGACATGTTGTTTACAGAAATAAATTAAAAATTTACGCTATTATTGTTTTAAACAACCACTGTATAATGACAAATTATTGTAGACGGGCCAACGGAGGTTCGTGGAAAGACGACGGCGGACAGTGTTGCCATTTATAGGGTATATATCTAATTTAAAACTTAACGTACTGTATCACAAAATACTAGTAGACCAGGGCGGATCTGTTTTGAGGTGGATAATTCAGTAATAATAACTTACTTATCCTCCCTCTCAAATAGGTCGGGAATATTATTCAAAAAATTAAAATATTTAAAAACTCTTAAAGCATCGTTTTTTTTTCTAGCTTGGTTACTTAGAACTTTAAAACGATTCATTTTGGAGACTTAATGAAATAAAATAGCGATAATTGAATTTTAAGACTGGTTAAAGATGTTTTAATTTATTATCTTTACTGCAAAAAGCAATAAATATAAAAATGGGGGGAAACAAGTCTTTTTTATTCGCTGCTTTTCAACCAGTTAGACTGCACTTATGATCTTTATACTTTGACTAGCAAGTTTTTATAATATAATAAAAGAGTCCACCAAGTTCCATTAAAATCCATTTAATCGCAATCTATTAAATTTTTTAAAATCTTGCACAACAAAAACTAGACCATATAGAAATTTGCCAATTTTTTTACTTTACAGAATTAAAATCGGATTTTCAAGCCAAACAATTTTTTGGCTTATAAAGAAATAGAATATCCCGGTAACTATTATTTTAAATTCAGAAAACAGCGTTGAAAAAGACTTGGAAAAACGAGCAGCGGTTCCTGAGATAGAACCACTCAAAGTTGACCGGCATTTGTGACGAAGTTATAAACAATAAGATGGTAATCGTTGTAACATTACGCTAAATACCGCGTTACCAAATTCCACAGATACTTTGTTTTTGTTATAAATAAATTTATTTATTTATAACAAAATAAAACTTCATATTTTTTCCTATGTTGTAGACTTTTTTTAGAAAATCTTACCAAACGTGTACCTTTTAACGCTCTAAATACAAATATTCTTATTTGAAAGCTATATTTAATTTAATTATTTAAGTAATTTTTTCTTATTAATTTTTTTAATAATGAACTTAACAACAATATAATTTTATGTTATTACTTTTAATTTATAGAATTGAATTAAATATTATTATTTATTTCATATAGAGTTTTTTTTTTCAATTTTCGGATAATTTAATTAAAAATCCTTTGTAATAGGTATATTTTAGGCCCAAACGGGCTAAGTTAAAAAGACAAAACGTTTTCGGAAACCATGTTCCATCATCAGTGTCTAGGAGTACATGAATGTAGCCACCAAGATTAAATATGTGGGTAAAAACCCGATTACAGATGTTTAATTACATTTAGTTTTAAAATAATGTTATAATGATTTAGGATTAAAGAGTTACCGATGGATTAGGTAACATGGCGACATATGACTCCAGTTGAAGTTGAAGTTGCTAGTCTCAGGACTAGCAGCTTCAACGTGGAGTCATATGTCGCCATGTTACCTAATCCATCGGTAACTCTTTAATCCTAAATCATTATAACATTATTTTAAAACTAAATGTAATTAAACATCTGTAGTCGGGTTTTTACCCACATATTTAATCTTGGTGGCTACATTCATGTACTCCTAGACACTGATGATGGAACATGGTTTCCGAAAACGTTTTGTCCTTTTAACTTAGCCCGTTTGGGCCTAAAATATGCCTATTACAAAGGATTTTTAATTAAATTTTTAATACATGGTATACAGCCAACTACAGGAACGTAGATTCCTTGTGGATTTCGGATAATTATTCGGCTAGGCGTGCTTTCTTGAGCTGCGTACCAAAAGGATCTTCTATTACTCCATCAAAATCTTCATCTTGAAATTGAAAATTCCCTTCCGATTTATCCGAAAATTAAAAAAAAAAATTCCTATACAAAATAAATAATAATTATATAAATTAAATCTAATAACATAAAATTATATTGTAAGTTCATTTTTATTAATGATTCATAAAAGTTATTAAAAAAATATTTAAAAAAAAAGGATACTTTCTATATGAAATAAATATTTTTTAAATAAATTTTTTTAAAAGTTTTTAATATATCATAAAAAAAAATTCAAAAAAATTTAATTTAAAAAAAAAGTTTCTATATGAAATAAATAATAATTTTTAATTCAATTCTATAAAATAAATTTAATATCATAACATTATACTGTTGAAGTTCATTGTTATTAATGTATCATAAAAATATTATTAAAAAATTTAATTTCCTTAAATAAATAAACAGGTCTCAAATAAGAATATTTGTATTTCGAGCGCTAAAACGTACACGTTTCATGTTTTTGTAACAAGTGTACAACAAAGGGAATTAATAAGATGAAATGAATATCTTAAAGACATGAAAATTTTTATCGAGAAAGAGCTCCAAAAGAAAAAGATAATGGTTCAAAGATTGCCATCCTATTGTTTATAACTTTATCGGAAATGGCGGTCAATTTTGACCGGTTGTATCCCAGGAACAAGTGCTTTATATGTAAAAAAATTGGCAAACACTTTTATATGGTCTAGTTTTGTTTGTACAGGATTTAAAAAAAAATTTAATGTAAAAAAATTAGATTGCAAAATTTACATGCTAAATTTGTGGACTGTTTTACAATGAAAACATTTTTAATCAGTCTTGTCGCATCTTGTATTGAAAATTCAATTAACGCTATTTTATTTAATGACGACTTTGATCCAAAATAAATCGTTTTTAAAGTTATGACCAAGGAAAGTAGAAAAAAAACGATGTTTTAGTAATTATTAAATATTTTAATTTTTTAATAATATTCTTAATATATTTGGGAGGGAGGATAAATCAATTAATTATTACTGAAGTTAACACGCAACTTTTTCTGCAAAAATCAGAATGTCCCTTCTCACATTCAAATGTAGTTGTTTTTTCACAGATCTGAACTACAGTGGTATTTATTAATATATTTTATTTAAAAAAAAATTAAATAAACTAATAAGTTATAGTAAAGAGCTTATTCAATTTCGCTTTCAAGAGGTAATTTTTTATATATTTATAAAAAAAGCTGCTTGTTAGTTAACTGGGGAAATACTGTTAAAAGCTAAAATATTTAAATTCCAGGCTACTACAATAAGTGATAATAAACAGCAACAGTTACTTGCATCAGTGGCCCTTGGTGATCATGCTGTCTGTCAAAAAACATTGAATTATTTAATACACAAGTTCCTTATTTACAACCACTATTGAGTTGTTTTGGCAATTTTTTTATGAAATACAATAAATTATTGCTATTCACAGTATTTTATGATTGTTGGCATTACACAAATATTTCTGATGTTAATAAATAGTATGTAGATAATTCTGAAAATAATACCAAGAGTTTCTGTCATTTGCACTCCATAAATTAAAGTTGAATTGGCATACTGTTTATTTCAATGTAATTAATGAAAAGTATTGTTCTTTAAATACTAATGTGTCTATAAATTTTATGTTATTGAAAATATATGTAAGTCAACGTAATTATAAAATTGTTGTTAGGGAATTTCTAAGCAGTTGCGACGTAGTGTAGCGACGTAGAAATATAATTGATGAAGATGCAATGTCATCAATGATATTTCTCTAAAGGAAATAATGTATTTACAAGCAGTGTTGGGGTATAATTTATTTAAAAAATGGAGTCGACAATGACGATCCAAGGAACTTTAAACGAAATAATGTATATAAAGCTAATTTCACATACATTTTATTTTAAAATAAATATTTATTCGTTGTTAATTTTAATAGCTAATTTAGTATTTGTGATTTTAAAGTTTTATGTCATTTTTACGTCAACTATATAGTTATAAAACATATTTTAGAATCAGTTAGGTAGCTATTCAAGTAAAAGAATGTGTAAAAACAACATCATTTATTAATATTCAATTTACATTACAACTATAACTAGTACATTCTATTATGGGAAGCAAATACTGATAATATATTAACACTTTGTTATAATTTATTAAATTAGAAAAAGTAATAGATATATCTGCTAATTGTATAAGTAAATGATTATTTTAATAGTAATTTAATTTTATTCATTCAATTTGCAAGATGCTTTAGTTTAATTGACTGGTGGCAGAACTATCGACTATAATTTTTTATTCAGTCCGTGCAAAGATAACCAAAATAATGTTTAAATTAATAATATTCAACAGAAGATTAGAAAGATAACCATCAAATTACTTGACTCTAATCTTGACTAGAATAAAATATAAGAATCAACTACAAGTCAAATCCAAAAATTATATGGGTTTATGTACTATTTGTAGTACTAAAACTATAATATCTCAAATATATTAGATTATATGTTTTATTGTAAGAAGAGAAGATAATTGTATATGTCAACGGAGTCAATTGACTCTTCTGAACTTGCAATTAAAAATATTGTTTTACTCCTAACTCGGAATAACAAGAAATTATATAAAGGTATTCAATTGTGACAAGAAATCAGAGTATAAGGTGGAAATATAGGTTATTAAATAGTATTTTCAGAATAGAACAATTCTAATCTATATAAATATTACATCAAATCGCAATAAAAAATCTGTGAAGGGAAGTATCAAAAACTAAGTCAGGATATCTGCAATACAAATCAATAAGATATTCAATTTTTATTTATATTTTATTTATATGAAAAAGTAAATAGAAGGTAAATTAGAAAATATGAATATCATATTCCGATTTGGTATATATGCGATATAATCCTTGGCTTAAAAATCAGAATTAGATATTGGTCTTTTATAAAAAAAAATGACCCATTGATTAGTTAACTACATTATGCCATAATTTAAAGCATATTGCAATAGAATACCGGTAAAGAAAAACTATAAGTAATTCTTGGTAAAATTGTATGATGCAGTCTTTATAATGGACTATATACATATTTTGCTCAGTTCATATAGGAGGACTATTATGACACTAAATATTTCGCTACACAATGCAATAAATATTTACATTTCTTGGATACACATTCAAAATATATGAGAATAAACATTATAGCAGAAACGATATCAGGACGAAATAATGGTAGTGGGATATCACAGTGTATAGAATAAATTAGTTAAGTATGTCAGACCTATGTAGTTCAACCCGTGATAATTGAATAAGTAAATTTAGGCAAAGTCAATACTTAGAACACTAAAAATTTTCGATAGATTTTGAATATCATATGGAGTTAGAGCGAAGACCTCAGAATATGGTAGAAACCGAGTTAGGCCTACACTTAGACACATACTTCTAATACAAGAAATAACTAGTTCTATATAGGGTATATAGAAAAAGAATATCTTTAATAAAAACATTACTTACTTTATAACTTACACCAGAAACGTCATTTATTGGTTAAGGAGCAAATAAATAAAAATATGGTACGACTAGGTAGGAATAATAAGGCAAAATAAATCATTGCGCATGATAACAAAAACAGAAGAGATTAATTAGAGAAATAAACGTGTCAAATATCATTAATCCATTATAACCGTAGTAATACATGTGCAAAGAAATAAATATAAGTACTATTAATGCCCTTCATGTTAATATTATTAAATATGTTACAATTTCTTATAAATGCTTATTACAAAAAAAAACACAAATGGATTTATTGGTATCGAGTTAACTAATATATTTAATTTGTATCATATACAAAACAACGGTTCATATTAGTCCTCCATTTTTTTTTTCAAGTTTGGCATTTGTAACAATTACTAGATCATGAAAATATAAAAACAAAATACAGAAAATACTGTACAATCACTAACGACTAAATTAATTCGTGTCGGAGCAGAAATGAAAGCAACATTAATAAGCATTGGTAACATTAATACATCGTATTGTATATAAAATAATATATTCGAGTTAAATATAAAAAGTTAATGGTTCAACAATATATCTGAGACTAGTACGATAACTATTAAATTCATATTTTTCTCTATTTATATATATCTCGATACTTTTTATAAAAATATCCTTTTGTTGGTGAGAAAATGTTTCAATAGTATCAGCTTAAATGATTAGAAATGAGAAATATATGGTTTGGTATAGTGTATAGAACTATTCTAATATAAGATTACACAAATACAATACAGTACAATGACATGAAATTGGTATAACCAAGAATTGCCATAAGAATATATAACGAATTTAAATAGAATCAGAATTTGACCAACAAATGAAAGAAGTCTGAAAATATTTTTTTATCATTTTGTAGGCTTATATAAAGAAACAAAGCAAGAAGAGGAATTGTCTATAATAGGTGAGATATAAAAATAAACCTAAAACTAATTATATCTACAGACCCCGACAAACATTGACCAACCAATTGTCAATGCAATGCCCTATTAGAATATGATCTGAGAAAAAAATATCCTAGGGGTGGAGACTAGTACTAATGTGCTAGAGACATAAAACGGCCAATCTTTAATAACTCTATAGTATATAAACCTAGAACAAGAAGAGAATAGCGCTGGTATGTTACTTTGGAAATATTAATGGAAAAAATATCCTTGATACAAATCTAGAAAATAGGCAAGTAAAATTTAATAAATCCGCTTAGAATTCAGCATACTCTTACTACTTAGATGACTGGTGCAAAATTAAAACATCTGAACTATTTTCCGACTTACCGCTCGTAATAGTATCTAGTTAAATAAAAATTTCCGCTAGCCATTTTTCCTACACGAGAAAAAGAAATACCGAACAGGAAATACCGAACTAAACATAGTCACTAATAATTAAAATACGCAAATACTTATTCTTAACAGAACAAAACAGAAGAAATTTCAAGATATACAATATTTAAAAGGAAAATAATGTGTAATATATTTATACACATATCTAGTATATTTTAGCATAAACGAGAAAGTCAGGCATAACATATAATATCATTTGTAAAGAGCGAACCAAATACATGCCCAGTAGCTTTAGTGACATAAAGTGACCTATCTGTCAAAAAGGATCATTAAGGTATCATGAAACAGTGTCAGTGAAAAGCGGAGAATAAACATACTCATCTAGTGGCATATGATATTTTAACAGTTTAACCTTAAATGATCTAAGTTGTGCACATTTATTTCATATAAACATCTGTATGCATATCCCTACTGTGTTGAATCCGTCCGTATTGAGCCGTATTTCTTATTGGAGGTGTTCTCCTACTACCCATATGTATATTTTTAGGTTTGAACAATACCATTTGTGAAAAACGGTCTAGCTAACTTGTTAACTCTGATTTATATAATGCGATTATTAACAAACATATTTAAGTCGAGGATTACAGAATTTAACACAACACCAAAATGTAACACCAGAATATTATGTAAATGACATATTTTAGTACAAAACGAAAAAAGGTAGTATACCATGAGTATTGTTGGATTACAACTATTTATAACATTGAAGAGTTAAACAAATAAATATAAATTTAATCTTTAAACAATCTCAGATATAGCATTCTTATATTAAGCTAATTAAAGTAAAACTTTAGTATATGAGTATGCGTCATGCATATGTCCATGCTATATCAAGCAATTTTAAGCAGATCAAATAACATGCAAATTTTATAAATATAGGTTCCCAAATTTCACAAATATTACTTGCAAAATTAAACATAACAACGCGACCATTCAGTACAAGTAACGAACAAAAAATAATGTCACTGCTATAGAAAATGAAACATTGAATAATGCCCATAATTTTATTTATTTGTTGTATCGAATCCAATGATTTAATATCATACAAATTAAGCAAAAATAAAAATCTTGGGCACTCATATTCCAACGTATTAAGTACAGCAGAATAAAATAATCAGTTTAGATCAAACAACAACAGCATTTAGAATAGTGAATTTGGAAAAAAAAAAACTTTTTTAGAAAAGCAAAGAAAAATACGAATAAATGACATAAAATTGAGTAATTAATTCATGTTCAAATTCATAGTCAAATATATATGAGGCAGAATTATTACGAACTGGTTAATATTACATATAATAAACTATACTATTTTTATCTCATATTATATCCCGTTTCGAATCACATTATGATAACTGACTTAAATTTCAGTAATTTGATTCGACAATCCACTCGATTAAATCATACTTGCCAATGTCTAAATAACCAATTCAGTATTAAGCCTTTGCAATATTTGCAATAGTATATGTAGTAAGAGAAATGATAAATGAAGACATTTACCTCATTTTTTGCTTTCTAGGAAAGAGGGGAAAACTTAAAAAAAGTATTACACAAAAATTTCTTTTAATTTCTTTGATACTAATTTTGTATTTATTTTTTTGGATTGATATGTTTTAAATTTCTTCATTAGCAGGTGACATTATTAGCTCAAGCTCTTTAAAAACATGGCAAAAACATTGCCTACAGTAACTAATAGAATAATTTATGCAAGTAGTACTTAACATAACCTATAAGAGAAACGAACTCTTAACTGTCGTTTAGATCCTGTGTGTGCACAAAATGGAAAGGATAAAACATACATTTCAAGAAGCAATATAATGAGGAAGTACACTGACATGTGCAACATTTTTCAATTATAAAATCAAAACACAAACAGCTAATACCGGCAAAAAATATATTAAAGGCAAATACCTGAATTATCTAAATATATATTATTATGTTGGAGAATTGGATATCCAATTTAAATTACATAGTTTACGATGATAAATTTCGTATTTTATTATAATTTTACATCAAATTCATTTTGTCCCATTTGTATTTATATGAAAAAATATTGAATTATGGTATGATACATACAATTTGAGTAAAATATTTTCATACATACCGAATGTTTTACTTATCCTAAATTAGTGATCATACATATTGTTTTCTAGAAACCATAATATAAAGATAATGAATGTAATATTTTATACACAGTTGAGTTTAAAAATATTTAAACGGACTTAACGATTTTTTTACTTATAGTGATTTTTTAATCTAAATTTAATTATTGTGCATATTTTGGTTTTGTTAACATCTGGTTGTATTAGACAGAGATAATATGCGTTTCTTTAAATAAATTGTTCATGTAATTATTAATTAGTGTATAGTATTAATAGTAGTATTAAAAATGTCAGTTTATCCAATGTGCCCTAAATTATTTTTGATGTACTGCACTACACTGTGGGAATATAACTATGCTGAGTTAATAATAAAAGAGCTGAAAAATAATTTTATATTGGTATACACTTAGTTGTCCAAAACATTAAGTGACTTACTATAAAAATGTATTCTTTAGAAGTTTCAACTTTTTAAAGTATTTCAAATTATTCTCATGACCAAAACGATAGTATTAACTTACGCTGCCAAATCAGCATAAAATGCTGTCCATAATAGCTTAAAACTATTACGAATATTGTAGTGTAAGCCATATGCTATCCACATGTATTTTAGAGTGACAATTAGAGTGTAGGTCAGGGATTTGCAATATGGCAGCAATAAGAAATCTTTTATTTGTAATACAAATTGCAAGATTAGCTGTTTGTTAATGATATTAGTTTTAGTATGGTTAAATTATAATTCAATATTCCCATGACTAACCTCTTGTAATAGATCCTGAGCAGCAATGGCTTTCAAAACATTCTTTTTACTTGTCTCCTGAACTTCACCCCCCAGCATCAGTTCATCCAATATAAAGTAGGCTTTCTCAAAGTTGAAGATTATATCCAGCTCACAAACCTAGAAATAGGAAAAAATTATATAAAAACATTCATTATAGTATTTTTTAATGTTCCAAATAGAACTTGACATATATTCAGGCCCAACATAAGGTGTAATATTTCAATTTATTAAAATACCAGCTGACCCCCTGAACTTCGTACCCTTTAGAACTAATAAATGTTCTGTTAAATTATTAGCCAAATCCAAGAGTTTTATTACATTTATTTATACTAACATTAAATTAATAATACCTAATAATTAAATTTAATACAAATTTTAAAATGAGCTAATTCATGTAGCAACAAAGTAGCCATTAGCTAAATAGATTGCACTTGTGTCGATTATTTTCAATGAAGGACCTTATGATATACCACACTTTTCATTGTGTTGCCAGTCTTAAACAGTCACATATACAACTGAATACTTATACAACAACACAATAATGATTGTTATTGTTGATAAACTTTTGATTATTTATGATACATAAAACCAGATGAAAAACCAATAGATCCAGATCATGATAAGGTTTTTAGGTTTGAATATTTAAATTAGCGTTTTAAATATTGTTGGTTCACTCTCTTCTTCTTCTTCATGTACCATGTCCTTTCAGAACGTTGGTTACCATCATAGCTATTTTAATTTTATCCACTGCCACCCTAAATAGCACGCTTGTATCTACACCACACCAGTCTCGCAAGTTCTTCAACCATGAGGTTCTTCTTCGTCCTGGACTGTGTTTGCCTGCTATTTTTCCTTGCATGATATTTTGTAGCAATCTATATTTGGGACCTCACATTACATGTCCGAAATATTCCAGCTTTCTCTGCTTGATGCTTTTTATGATCTCAGTAGTCTTGCTGGGACGTTCTAGTAATGTGGAGTTACTAATCTTCTCCACCCAGGAAACTTTTAAAATTCTTCTATAGCACCACATTTCGAAAGCCTCAAGGCGATTTAGATCGATTTTATTCACAGTCCAGGACTCGACAGCATAAAGTAAGACCATGAACACGTAGCAGCGAAGTAGGCGGATCCTTAATGCCAATTTTAGGTCTCTGTTACATAACACCTTGGACATCCTTCTAAAAGCAGCGGTTCACTCTCAGTATTTGCTATTTTACAAAAATGTATCAAGACTGAAGACAAGTACTGTTTAAAACTTTTTATTAGAGCCGAACTCCTTGTTAGTTTTTGAAATGGTGCTAATAGTAGAAATATTTAATAAGTCTTCTGTAATATACAAGATGAAAATTTCAGTTATTGGTATCAGTGGTCCTTTATTATTTCACAATTTTTCAAAATATTAAGTTCATAAACACACATGTTCCTTCCAACTCAATAATTGAGTTGTTGTGGCATTTTATTTTTTCTAAGAAATATACATATAATTGCTTACATAATTCCTACCCCCAGACTTCCCACTAAAAACCTCCTCCTAACAGGGAACAGAAAATATCGATTTACCAAGAATCTGTACACCATAGAAAAAAATGTAGCTGAGATAATTTTGAACGAAAATGCTTACTAGCACTTTTTCTATAAAATGAACAGTTCTTCCATAAACAATGCTTGAAGCGACCGGCGACTTTGAATTTCAGTAATGCACGTGAATCAATTTTTTAAATAAAATTTGTATTAACTCTATGGTAAAAATTCTATATTGATATCTCTTATCAGAGTCCTATTAGTCTAAGATCCCAACGTTCATAATGTAGTTAATCAAACTTACATTGTTACATACATTTATCATTAGGAGACTACATTGGTAATAGGCTGCCAGTCAGACTTATTGCATGTTTTATGTCAAATTAAAGCTAAATTTTTTTTAATATAATGATATAAGGTGCCTTAGAATATATTATAATTGGCTAATTTATGACCATTTTTTCTCAGCCAACCTTATATCATCATATATAATATAATATATAACACCACCTAATAAGGTATTAACAAAGCATACATTGTTTACTTTTGACAGACCTGTCATCTTCAGGTGAAATATTAAATTAATCAAAAAATATAAATATCATTTGATAGTAAATTTAATTATCACTTAAACTAAATAAGATGTTTGAAAATAATAATTGTATTTATATGAAATAATTTATAACGAGAAGTGTCATAAAAATTTAATCAGATAATTTAATGTTGTTATTAATTAGATGGAATTTATGACTTAAGTTTTGACAATCGTTACGAATCGAATCTTTTGTTGACATATATTCTTTTAATAATTTTTTACTTTAATTCATTTAATGTCTATATTTCTGAGTTATTTTTAAGGTAGATTTTAATTTAAAACTGCTTAGAATAAATATATGATGACTAGAAACGAATTGATCGAGAATAGTGAAACAATGTGAAGAAATGCTATTTCGTGACGCTACCTGTGACGCCTTCGCGTGGCGCTAGTTCCGTGACACTCGCTTCAGCATGTTACTATGGAGAAAAACTAATACAACACCATTATAGAAGCTTCGCTTAAAAAATTAGCATTAATTGGATATAAAAAAACATGCACATAAGTCATGAGCAGCATATTTAATATTTAATTAATTTTAAGTAATAATAAATAAACGGATTTTTTGTTCAAAAATTAATTACATTAATTAAGTTAAAACTATTTGCGGTCACTTTTTGGGCAACCTGTAATCAATGTATTTTCCTATGCTTAAATGTATGTAAAAATGTGAGTTTGATTAATTACGTTATAAATGTGGTGATCTTTCTGTGGGATCTCGTATTATATCTACAAAAACCAAAACGTGGTTTAAAGGTAAAGAGCGCAGCTTTCTTACTCAAATATTGCATTTTTTTACAAATGAAGTGAGCTGAAGTTTGAAGATTAGGTTCTAACAATGGGAATTCCACAGAGACAGATCAGTGAAAGTGATACATTTTTTTTTGGTTTTCACGAGAATTGTAAAAAAATGGCAAATATTACTTACACTTCCAAAATATTTATCAAGGAGCTCTACATAACGATGTATAATTTCCAGGGTTAGGAGCTCATTGTCACATTGTTCAATTGCACAGCAGAAATACAAACTTGCATATCTGAAAAAACACCATATCACAAAACTGTACTTTTTGGAAAATTTTTAATTAAGTTCATTCGTTCAGCAAATTCCCAACTATCAACAAAAGCGCATGTTGATATTCACCTTCTCATTCACCAAGAGGCTATTAAATATAATTTATTGCCTTAAGCCAGACAGATTCTCATGTTACAGATCCAAACTTGCGAGTCTGTTTAAATTCAAATTGTATCATGTTGGTTTCTAAGTTAATATATTGTGTGTTATATTTATGTTAGTTATTAAGTTATTTACTGGTCGTGTTATTTTTTAGAGTTTAGTTTAATTGTGATTTAATAATTAAATATCAAGAAATTCTTACACTAATAGTTTCAAAAGTAAATATTTTTGGACGATTTTCACATTTGGTCCCATTGAAGATAGCCTCAAATTAGCTGTCAATTAATGTTCACAGAAGGAAATATTGCGTTGGCAGTGTTGCCATGTTCTTATAATGTATATGTTATATGCTTCAAATACAAAGAGATAAAGCTTTTAAAAGGTACATTTTTATAATATTATTTTATGGATTCTGCAATTTTATACCTTATATAAAATATTAATGAAGTAATATTTGTTTCGTTTAATATTAGTTGTAATAAATTATTATAAATTTTTTTGGCAATTGCCCTTTGATAGGTTAGCGGATAGATTTGGCAATAGAGTCAGAACCCTCAAACTACCAGCTACCAGATTGCAACAGATACCATTTAAATTTTATTATTTATACTGACATTTTACTATTTTCTGTTAAAAACTGTTTTAAAACTATTTACTTTTTTTTTTGATAATCGTTAAATATTAGTTTTTAAATATCTTATTGCTTTTAATTGCGTGTGTTTAATTTGTAATGTAAATTTCAACACTGTGAAACACCAATATTTCATTCTGTCAAACCCATTTGAAGCTATCTTCAATGGGACCAAATGTGAAAATCATCCATATTTTTAAGAATCATATAATACACATCAGTATGACCCTGTTTGGATTTCATTTCTGTATGTTGACAATTGGGAATATGTAAAATGAATGTAGTTTATACGGATTAATGTGCAGTGAAGTTAACTTAAAGGGTGCTTCCAGATTGGTTACAATGCTTAACTAATTTATAAAAATGGCAACTTCTCTAATTTCAATGCCATTACATAACCCAACCTCTTCATGATATGTCTTACTTACATTTGGTGGAAATAGATCACATTATCTTATAACTTTTGGAAACTTGTTTCAAATAATTTGGAAATATACAAATATTATAAGTTAAATAACTGTGATGTTGCCTATTTCCGATATTTTTTGTATTTAACTGCACCTATACCACTTGACTTCTTGAGATACTTAAATCCCTGCTTGCTATTAATATTTAACAATAATAGTGTTCCCTAGAATCTAAGGTAAGTATATCAATTATGATACCTACCTTTTGTAAACAATTTTTAAGTCTCTCCACTCCAGAAAACTACACATTTTAGGCTTTCTAGCTAAAATAGTTGTGATTAATTCTCTTGTAATTTTTTTCTTAAGCTTGTCTGGATGAGCCACATACCATTTTTGTAACCTAAGTTTGCCTTGCCTACTAAATAATAACATGAATTGCATCTAAAAACAAACAGTTAGAATTACAGATAATAATTCAATGGATATCCTACCATGGTGAAAACTATACCGTATATTTATTTTTGTAATAACTTCATTCATCTAACTTATCTAAAATCTAAAACATTATTGTTCAGTTCACTCCATAGAGAAATAACTTCACTCATTTAGTGGCAAAACCACAGATCATTATTAGTGGTCTGTGCGTCTGTGGGGTGGGTGTGGGCACGGTTGCCAACAGTCGAATCGTGGTTTCTACTAGATTGACATGTAAAGGTCGATTCACACACATCAGTCACGTCTCGTCACAGTGATTGCGCCGAACCCACGGTTCCTAGAGTCTACGAACCGTGCACCGAACCGAACAATCCGTCATACAAAATATTCTTTAATACAAATATGTTGCCAACATTCACACTCATCAGTTGACAAACAGTTTCCCAGCTGTCAGATAGTTGATAGTTCTGTGGCCAAATAGGACCGGTTCGGCGCCGAGTCTCGGCGCCGAACCGGTCCTGTTTGGTCACAGAACTATCAACTATCTGACAGCTGGGAAACCAACTGATGAGTGTGAATGCCGGCAACATATTTGGATATTTGTATTAAAGAATATTTTGTATGACGGATTGTTTGGTTCTGGTTCTGGTATGGTTCGGTACGTGACTGATGTGTCTGAATCGATCTTAAAATCTACTAAAATTCACGAGAGGCCACGTGAATTGCACGAGAGGCTAATTACCACCTTGAATTCCATCTTCTCATTGGACGACTGGATGACATTTTTGACATCAGTTAGTGAGGTTAGATAATCAGTATGTTCCATCTTTTCATTCGACGATTTTGTCACGTGACCTATTGAAGTTTTGTTTAAATTGTTTACAGATTGTTTAGGAAAAAAATATATCAAAAATGATATTTCACATGATACTAAAACAAACAAGAAAAGTCAACGAGCATCTTACTGTGACGTAATCCTGAGACTATTTTAATGACAGCAAGTTAATTGCTATGTTCATGTTTATTATCATAGATAAATAATATAATAGTAGAAATAGATAGGCAACTCAATGTATAAATTTCGTTCATTAGGCCCCTTGAGGCTGGGGCATCGAGCAATAAGACAAAAGAGGGAATGTAAAGGTAGAAGGGGTAAACATATTGATAGACAGGAAGTGCCATCTTGAGAGGCCACTTTAAACAAGGAAAGACAGTCTCTTTCCTTGTTTAAAAGTCAAATTTAGTTTGGTTATGTTATTGTTTGTCCCAACTGTCACATGAAATTTTATTTATATTGAAGTTTTTTTACCAATTATGTCACTTTTTAGACTATTATCGTTAATATTTAATTAAAACTTTCCTGTCTGAAAAATATTTTACAGCTATTGTTAACAAGTGTTGGAAAATTTAAATTTAGCGCCTTTGCATTTCCGGATATGTCCGCCATCAGAGGCCACTTTTTTGGTCTCCTTTTCATAACGATTAGATTCCCTCTTTTATCTTTTTTCTCGATGGGCTGGGGTCAATACTAATCATCTTTTGGCGGCAAATTCGAATGAACACCCCTTACATACATACCCTTTAGCGCCTCTTGTGGGCTATTTCGTTACTAATTAAAATTTATTGGAAAATAAGGATATAAGATGCACAATTTTTTCTAGATATACGTATATTTATTTGTTGTTTAGGATAAAACAGTTATAAAATAATTACATATTTATTACACATATTTGCAGAAGTTAAATACTATTATTTTTTGCTTTCTGACAACTTACTATCATTCTTTTTGTAATTTTTCCATGATTTGTACACAATGAACAATACAATAATTCACCATGTTTAGTTTTGTTACTAGCACAACACAAAAATTCTTTGCTACAATAGGTAACTCAAAATAAACTTTAAAAATTAAGTAACCAAATTTAAATTAAAATTACTAAGAATAAATGCAAACGAAAGTTAAAGATAATAAAATAAAATTGAAAACTTGTAAACAAACTGTCATTACGTTGGATTGACAGAATTGACATTGCGTCGTTTGATTATTTTATTTGGTTTATGATTGGTTAAAGTCTTCGTGAGAGAGATAGCCTGTCATTTTTCTTTATTAACTCGCTGGGGTCAAAGCATCGAGCAATAAGACAAAAGAGGGAATGTAAAGGTAGTGGGGGTAAACATATTGATAGACAGGAAGCAGAGTTGCCAGATTGGGGTATTTCCCCCCATTTTTGGGGTAATTTCAAAGCGTCTGGGGGAATTTTTATGAGCTAAAACGGATGGGGGATTTTTGGGGGGAAAAATTGTGGAGGATTTTAGGTGGTCAGTGGTCATCAATTTGCGAATGTACATAGAATTGGAAGAAAAGCTATTCTATTCATATCTGGTTTTTTCGGTAGATACCTTTAAGGCACCCAAAAAATGTACTTATCTAAATATTTTACAAAAATATAGGCCTTTAGTTTGCATATAGATCATTTTGTCTTAATAGACCACCGTCGTGTGGTCATGTATGTAAGTTTTAGAAATATGTACTTCCATATATCGGCTGTGGATTAAAGTGACGTTAAATACAAAATATAACTAAAACATAAGGCTAAGAAATTTGGAAATTAATGAGTTAATACAAATGGGATTCACAGCCTCGTCGTTCCAATTCTACTCATAATCAATGACGTCTGATTTTGTAATCATGTTTTTAAAATTTAATTTTAATTTTTAAGTATAAGCACAGCCATGTAAAGTAACTTTAGGTGGCTGTGATATAAGTGACATCAGTTTTTATAAATCGTGAAGTAACATTGTTGTCATTGTTTTAGTATGAAAAATTATTCTACTCCATCGTTTTAGCATAAATAATATAAAAAATTATAGTATAGTGTGTTTTCAAATTCCAGTCTACAGTCTTTTCAAATTTATAAAAATTGTAATTATGCGACAAAATTTTAATTTTGGGGGATTTGAGCTTAAATTTGGGAGAATTTCAGTTTCCAAGTGGGGGATTTAAAAAATCGCATCTGGCAACTCTGACAGGAAGTGCCATCTTGAGAGGCCACTTTAGACAAGGATAGACAGTCTCTTTCCTTGTTTAAGAAGTCAAATTTAGTTAGGTTATGTTATTGTTTGTCCCAACTGTCACATGAAATTTTATTTATATTGAAATCTTTTACCAATTGTGTCACTTTTTAGACTATTATAGTTAATATTTAATTAAAACTTTCTCGTCTGAAAAATATTTTATAGCTATTGTTAATAAGTGTTGGAAAATTTAAATTTAGCGCCTTTGCATTTCTGGATATGTCCGCCATCAGAGGCCACTTTTTTGGTCTCCTTTTCATAACGATTAGATTCCCTCTTTTATCTTTTTGCTCGATGGGTCAAAGTGATGGGAGAATGAACCAAGTCATTCATATAAGATTCCAGGCCATGTTTATTATGTTGCTGAGTTATCGAGTTTTCTATCCTGTAAATTTTAAAATGTAGTGAATGATTTATTTATTTGTTTATTGATGTAGTAAAGTCGTTGTATATTATATTGTTATATAAATCTTGTGGTAAAAACATTCAGTTTACTGTGGTAATATCACCTAATTTGTTTGTCGCATGCAACTTCCTCTCAACTACCTGTAGCTACTTTATAAAAAAGACTGGCATCTCGCAATTGCGGGCACTCTAACCTAACCAAGCATTTATATGACATTTAAGGTGGTATGTCACAATGTTAAAATTTATATACTTTTTAGGTAGGTACAGTTATCGCCACAATTTCAAAACCAATCTTCAACTTATGACTATGTACGTAAACTGTAAACTTTCTATTTTAATGATATCTAGTTAAAATTTCCAAAGAAAGCAGTAATTTTTTTATAACTGTACTTAAATGAATCCATGTCATAACTTACGTGGTAACGTGCCTAAAAATTGGTATTGTGTAATAATTTTTGAACTTAGGTACAAAATAACTACTTTAAATGATTAACTATCCAAAAACCTTTATTTTAAGCGAATGTTCGTTATCCATAGTGCCGTAATTTTTAAATTAACTGTACCTAAAGATAAAATTACAATTAAAAGCTGCAAACTAGGGATTTTGTTGATGTCACCGTTATAAGTTGGCATTTTGCTGGTTATTTATTTATTTAGCGTATGGACTTTCACAGTACGATAAATATACAAATACAATTACAATAATATACACATATATATTATATATATCATTCAAACACTAAAAATAGTAAAAATAGAATGAATAGAATGAATGACACTAAATATTAAAAAATATAAGAATAAAAAAATTTTGCTGGTGAGAAATTAGTTCCGCTATCACTTAATAGATGTGAAAATAAGTTCACGTGTCATTTAGTAGAAGGCAGCAGTGATGTATTAAATAGCGACAAATGCGTGTTTGCCAAATTTAAGAAAAATCTGCAATACATTGAAACCTAGTTTTGTGGTTATGCCAATTGTCTATTTGTTGTGCAGTAACCATGGTAATACGAATCACGTGGTTGTGTTTAGCAAAGCGGCCCCTACCAGTTAATATTTTGGCTTAGTTTGACTGTCAATTATCAATCATGATCGCATAACGTCACAGTGTTTTAAAATACAAGTATACCAGTAATTACAGTTAGTTTTATTCACGTTTTGGCAAATTTAATTTTTATAGACAAAACAATATAATGCAATGATTAAATTTTGTCGATTAATTATTTTCGTAAATGAAAAAGATTATTGAAATTTACTTGAGTCATAATTAGAAATCAGATGAAAATCTGAAATTTTCTAAGTAAAAAACTTCTACTGTTAACATTCGATATGAAAAAAAGTAAACGTATTTTAGATTTTCAAACAATTGCAAATTTCTTTTTCAGTTTGGAATAAATATTTTTGGGTAGATAAAGAATTCAGAATTGTCGTAAATATTTCCAAATGAATGAACGTTTTGTGTATATGTATTAGCAAAAAAATGTCAAGTAATTAATATGTTTACTTAAAAAAATCACTAATCAGCACATCCGCTAAGTGCTGGTGTAAGATAATTAAATTTTACGACTTTTCCGTCTGAGAATGTATTGATGAGTATCATGTATCATATTAATAATATGTATTAGAATTGCATATGCATACATATATTTAGTCGAATTTTTACAACCAGAGCAAGCTGTATTATAAAACCACACTTGTGTAATTTAATACAAAAGTAAATTTTTCTGTACTTAAAATTTAATTTTGTATTATTTCGCGAAAGATAACTGCGGGATATGACAGGACTTATATACGGGAAGTTAGTTGTTTTCGCCTATATTAGTGCAAACTTTTTTCCGGCGAATAGTTTTGTTTTTGCCGTGAGGGTCGGCCAAAGTTACCGTCGGAACATGAAATCAGATAGAAAACGCAGAGCGGTACTTCGGATAGTGCATTTACGAAAATTGCTAATGTTTTGGACAGTTTGTTAGCTTTACTTGTAATTCTTACAAGTAAACTACTATGAGCTTTGTGAAGTGGAAAGTGCGGTACTTAAAAGTATATTCGAAGATGCTTCCGAAGAATAGTTAATCAGTGAGATAGAGGCAACTGATAAATACAGTGCAAGGTACTTTGAGTCATCAAGTGTAAAAGGTAAGGGCAAATTTAAATTACCTCCAATCGAGTTAAAAAATTATTTATAGGTTCTTTAACTTGAGACCTTAGACAAAACCTGCTGACAAATTTGCGGTGATATTGTATCCTCTTATTGAGTCACGTTTGCCAGAATATATGATTCGACTATTACATCTTGTTTCCGTGTCCATGGAAAATATCGGAGAAACTGCAGAAGTTACAACTTTAGAAACAAGATTGAGCGAGCTAATGAGCTTTTTACAGAGTGAATTTCAAAATAAAGAAGAAATTGATTTAGTGACGGAAAGTTTTGGTTTACCGACTAAAAATAAATATAAATTCAATAGCCTTGTTGCCAAGAAAAATGTAAAATTATCTATGCATGGAACTGATCTACCACTGCTGGGTTAATGAATTATGAGGTTTACGGAAAGTCACTGCATGACGTTCCACACGTAACAATAAATACATTTTTTAGTGTTCTACATCTATTTTCAATACTTGGAAATGTTAAAACAAAACAGCATTTTCCTTATCTTTCCCATAAAGGGTATATTCATTATCCACTGTTCGATTTCATTCCGCTTACGCTTCCAATATCCAACAGCTACTTCTCCGACATCTAAATCTCAAGAAACCTTCTTTATTGATTCACCCTTGTCCAACCTCTTGTATTCACTTTTGTTTTCAAAGGTGCAATTACTCTTTTCCGCTTTCCACTCATATTGCACAGAAAGATTCTCTCTTACACTCACACAAATCAACTTATGAAAAATTAATTATGAAACCGAAACTAATAACTGGAATAAATTCACAAAACAGTACATAAAAGGAAAAATATTACCGTACAGATTCTTAATTTGACGATCTGAACGACACCAAACAAATCGGTAGTCACCAAACAAAGGAACAGGAAGTTGTAGACAAAACACCACACAGAAATTTCTGCGCATGAAATCTTTCACATCAGCTTGACCTAAAGCATACCTTACGAATAATTCTCTTCTTATCAATAATCCAAAATTTTCAATTGATTGCCCATATAACAGCTGCCGATATATCTTCTGACCATCGATCCTTTTTGTATTACTCCATAATAAAGGTAAATAAAGGTAAAACCAAGGCACATTTTTGCCTCGGTTAACTGAGGGGCTCGGATAACCTAGACTCGGATAATCGCGAGTCTACTTAAAATTTAATTTTGTATTATTTCTGCGAAAACGCAGAACGGTAGTGCATTTACGAAAACTGCTATTGTTTCCCGGGAACTCTTACAAGTAAATAATACAATGAGTTTTGTGAAGTGGCGAGTACGGTACTTAAAAGTATATTCGAAGAAGCTTCCGAAGAAGCGCAAATTTAAATTACCTCCAATCGAGTTCAAAAATTATTCAGAGATTGCAGTCTAGGTTTGGCATAGAGGACCTCCAAATTGAAGTTTACATTAGAGAGCTCTCAAAGTTAATTTTAAGTCGAGTTTCTTATTAATATATATATATATAATATATATATATATATATATATATATATATATATATATATATTATATATATATATATATATATATATATATATATATATATATATATATATATATATATATATATATTTCTGCTCTTTATGATATGATTGATAGTCAACTTCGTTCACTTGAGACCTTAGACAAAACTGCTGACAAGTTATCGGCGATATTGTATCCTCTTATTAAGTCATGTCTACCAGAAAATATGATTCGACTATGGCATCTTATGTTTTCGTGTCCATGGAAAATATTGGAAAAACTGCAGAAGTTACAACTTTAAAAACACACTTTAGAGTGGGTTAATGACATTTTTACAGAGTGAAGTTTAAAATGAAAAAAAAAATTGATTTAGCAACGGAAGGTTTTCGTTTACTGGCTGAAAATGAATATAAATTCAATAGTCTTATTGCCAAGATAAATGTAAAATTACAAAGAACTGATCAGTACTTAGCGTCCGCTGATGGGTTAATAAATTATGAGGTTTACAGGTGTATATTTTTATTATAAGTAATTTTTTGTACTTGAAATAAGTTTAGGTTTTTACAAAACTAATATGCACAATTTAAAATGTTTACAAAACTAAAAAAACAACACAAAAAAAAAACAAAACAACAATTTTACTTCAAAGGTAAATGAACCTCAACGCAACACGATACAAAAATTAAAAAATTATGTGGAATGATGCAATCCAAAAATTAGAATTTGTGAAACTTCAAAAATAATACGATAGCTAATTTCAACCACCGCACCGTTCAACTTACATTGCAGAAGACTGCCGACCGTGAGCGAACTATACCGATTCTCCCGATCGTATATTATATTTTCAGTTTCAGTACTTGGCCTCATTGGCAACACTGTCGCTGTTCAGATAATTAAATTTCGAGAAAATCAAAATATTAAAATATGATGCACGTGCTGCCATCTATTTAAAAAATTGTTAAACGTTAGTTTATTTGAACACCGCTCATTTTAACTGCGGCGTGAACATACCCCCTTAAGGTTCGCTTAAATGGTGTCAGAGTTGCCAAGTCTCCAGTTTTTTCATACTCTCACATAATATACAAATGTTGATTAAAGTGATATATAAAAAATTAATAGTATAGATTTTAGTTAAATTAAAGATAATAATCAAATGCATATACAATAAAATTGATTAAAATTATATAAAAAATTAATAGTAATAATTAAATTACCGTATATAATAGAAATGCATTGAAATTATATAAAAATTCAAAGATTTTAGTTAAATTAAAGATAATAATCAAATGCATATACAATACAACTGATTAAAATGATATAAAAAATTTATTTAATATATTTAAATCTTGTAGCTTCTCACAATACAAATTATAATTTCGTAAAAGTAACTTATATTTTAAACCTTCATATACATTTTACAAAAAAAATACGGCAAGTTTTATGCTTATTTAAAATTTGTAGCTTCTCATAACACAAATTATTATTTCGTAAAAGTAAATTTATATTTGTAGCATTCATATACATATTTTACTAAAATAAATACAGCAACACTGTGACGCAGTGCCTTGAGGAAAATATATTTGGTTAGGTTAGAGCCACGTAGGAACCGTGGGTTAGAGCCAATGACGTATAATATATAGACTCGGTGAACGCTTTAAAAAGTGTCCAAAACATGAATACCTTTGTTATTGTTTATTGTTTTGATACGAAGATACACGAAGTTCATGATTTCTTACGAAGCATCACGAAGTTGATCTTGTGTTTGAAAACATCATGGACGTATGAAAGCATTTTCTCCATTTTGTGTGACAAGCAAATTTTATTTTAAATTGTTGAGAGTTATTTACTTACTATTTTAGTAAAATGCCATACTATTTTATCAAAATAATTATTTCTCTGATAGATGGGACAAAAAGAAATCATAAATATTTAATTTTAATTAAAAAATAATTATTGTCATTAACATATAAATGAGCACGCCGCTGTTGTGATAAACATACCTTCAACCTTGAGTCGAGATCATGATATAAGGAAACATGGTATGCTCACGCGCATCTATTTTGAACAGCCAATCGCCTTTACGACCAAAATCCGCCATTTTGAAGGCGGCAATTCAAATATGTTCAAAATTGATACGAAATATCGTAGTTAAATTAAATAAAATAAAATTAATATTATACATTAATCCAATTAATTTATATTTAAAATGATCTGAACAGACTCTTGCTAAAATAATTTTTAAAAAATCTAAACAAAACAAAAACACCTTTACTTTTAAATTCCAATACATTGCAAAGTAAGGTTAAAAAATACAAAACACTGGATGTAAACAAAGCAGACGTCACGCATGTAGAGGTGGTTAGGTTAGGTAAAGATCTTTATTTATACGTCCATGACCCGTACTCGTTTATTATAATATATTTGTGTTAGGGATCAGTTCCACAAGTATAATTAAAATACATGTTCCAAAGTAACTGGTACGGGATCAGGTCACCATCCCTACACGCATGTGACATATTGAAAAAATGGTGGATTTTGGTCGGCGCAGAAATGTGCAAAAACGAGTCCACCTAGTGAGCATACCTTGTTTCCTTATATCATGGTCGAGATCCTTCGGACACTCGATTCTATAGCGAGAATAGGGGACTGCGTAGTCTATATATTATACGTCATTGGTTAGAGCAAAGATAAAATTTATAGATTGGTAACAGGGATAGGCAATGTCAAATCACGTTCGGATTTAGGCGCCCATTCGTTTGGTGGCGCTGCTAGTCTCGTTTCTACGCGTAGGGAGTGTGCTGTGGTCAAATCAAAAGTTGAATTTAGACAAATACGGCGCCATATTTTATTTGTTTTATTTTTTATAATTTATTTTATAGTTTAAATTTTTTTATATAAGTAGTGCAAAAAGGTAAAATTTTAGACGATTTCTTATTATGGAATCGAACACATTACATGGAATAACAATATAGTGACGAAGAACTGAACAAAAAAGATGTATTCCAGATTGCATGGATACTAGGCAAGCACACTACCGCTGCGCTGGCAAGCAATACCGTTTTTCAAGTCCAGGAGATTATAATATGGATATGTTTGATAAATGGGTGAATGCTGCTAAAAGCCCTAATTAGAGAATGCTGCAACAGAAACTATTTATAACAATTTTCGTGTATGCGCTACTCATTTTAAAGAGGATGATATAATTAATGTTGGACATACCGGTATTACGAGAACAGCCCTTCTGAGTTTGTTTTTACCAGCACCAGGTAAGAACTATTATGCCAATATATGTATGTATGTGACCTTTTACTTATAAAATTAGTTAATTATAAATTTAACCTAATTATAAAATCAGACTTACTTGCTTACTATTTGAATTATTTTGTAGGTGGTGGTTCAACAACTATCTTAAAAAATCATCACCTTAGAGAGGGTTCGACATAATTTCTACAGGTGTGCCTGTTTCAAAGTTGGATTAGATTAGCAGACCATGACTACACTATCATATGGAGAGGTCCATGAGCTTGCCGTTAAGTGCGAGGAGGGATCTGTCTCTCTCTTGTGAGTGAGATTGGTCTTAGAGTACCATATATTATCATGGTTTGTCTCATCTATGTACTTTTAATCAAAAGAACAACCTAAATCTAAATGTATTTAATATGTCTCTCAATAAATATATAAATATTAGTAGAAAAGAGTTACTGGTAAGATAGAGTTTGGAAACGTAACTTTGTAAAATACTTCATATTATTATTGTAACTAGGTAATACTTTACATATTTTTTTATTTTTAATGTTATTTTTCCATCTTTATAGTGCTGGATCTTAGAACCTTAGAGCTAACTGTTGGGTTTATAGGTTTAAATATGACTAAAATATTATCATATAAATGTATATAAAGTTCTTTCTAGAACTAAATCATTTAATTTTTCTGTTTCCAACTTAGCAGAGTTCTTGAGTTCTGTTTTTCTTTGAGTAGCACGCCAGACAGTAAGAGTTCTCACTGACCACTGGTAGTGTGTGTTATTAGATTAGGATGTAAGTACTACAAAGAACTCAGAATGTCTGACAGCTGTCTGTTGCTTATTAGGCTTTAATTTGACATTAGAATTCCAAAAAAATTATTTAATTACTGACAAGTTCTTGTCACAAGATTTAGAACACTAAATTATACTACATTTACCCTTCCCTATTTGTGAACAAAATATTGCAACTATCTTGGTTTATTTTTAGCTCCAGCTGATTTACAGCTAGATTGAAAATCTGAATTTTCCAATCTTGGTTCATAATTATCATCAGGTTTTTGAACAGGTAAATTTTCTGTCACATCTGGCATTGATTTAGTAGTGGAATTCTCTAATGTGTTATTTGGACTTCATCTTCATCATTATCGTGATTCAATAATATAACAATTCAATAGTAAACTTCTTATATAGTACAGAGCTCCTGGTAAAGCAGTTTTTCATTTAGTGATGTCTAAATATTTGGTTTTCAATGCTAGATTCACCAATTTCTATAATAACTCATTGTATCTTTCAACTTAACCTTTTCTTTCAACTTAACTTTATATGGTGTTGTTCTACTTGAAATATTCCTTTAGAGTGGAGATAATTAATAAATTCTTGTGAAGTAAAGCTAGTTCTCCTTGTCAGATTTTATATATGCCAGCATTCTATATAAACAAAATAGTGATTTAATCTGTGATTGGTTTGAATTGCTTTCCTACCAAATAATGGCTGCATTTTTTTAATACTTCAATGCATTTGCATGTTTTCATTCTGAATCTGTGAGAGTATGTGTGAAAAAAGCAATTGGTTTTCCCCATTGATTGCTTCGCTTATGTAATTATAGACTAAATTTATTACAAGCATGTACTTATTTTGTCTTCTAGGGATTTATCTTTAGATTCATTGCTTTCTAAAAAAATCTTAAATGTTATATACCAATGTTTGAATTCTTTGCAAATTTTGAGAATAAAATTGTAGTAAAAGGCCTTTTGCAGAATTAGGCTTCTATTTACATAAAACTTGACATACTAAGACATTATCTAAATACTGACCAGTTCTTGCCACAACATTAAGAAAACTAAATTATAGTACACTTGGCTTGTATTATTAATATTTCTTGTAACACATATAACATTTCTTGTAATATTTTTATAAATAAAGATTTTATTCTATATTTTATTCTTTAATTTTTTGACCACTTTGGCATTTTAATGTAATGTAAAATAAATATAGTCGCAACATAACAAGAAAACCCAAAAAGTATACGAAAAATATTTATTATCGTATAGGATAAGGATTTTTCTTGTTATTTTAAGATTATATCGATTTTCCTTTACTTTAAAATGAGTTCACAATCCTAGGTAATATTACAAAAATTTTAAATTTCGCGCCATGTATTATAGTTAGGCGCCCGGTCACTGGGTGATGCGCCAATCATTGTTTTACTCGTCAACACGGAAGTTTCAATGCTAGGTGGTAGTGTGCTATGTTGGAGACTTGCACGTTAGAAATGTCAGTTTTTGTATATATCAATAAATAATCTTTAATAGTTTGGAGATATCCTTACGTGTACGATTATTGTAATTGTTAAACCTCCTAACTTATTTTCGTCTAGTAATTTCACCACAGAATGCATACAAATCTCATTTAACTTTAACAAGAATTCAAATTCTAGTCTCCAATGACGGCATGCGCGAACCCGACCGATTTTGAGCTACGGGAAGATCCTATCTTGTTATTCATAGTATCATGGGTTAGAGTGCCCGTAATTGCGAAATGCCCAAAGTAAAACTTTTTCGACGTGTCGTTTTTTTGAGTTTCCTAGAGACAAACAAATGCCTAAACTATGGGTCTCCAAATGTATTCAGTGAGACAAATTTAATGTAGAAACCGCTAGAATATATGGTATTGGTAGGAAGAAGATAATATTCATATTTTAGGATTAAGCAGACTTGAAATGTCTTTAATTTTCCAAATGAAACTTTGGTATTAGTACTACATATTTTAGGAATAAGCTGACTGTATGATATCCTAGTGCTGTTTTTTTATTAAATATGTAGCTTTAATGGTTTTTAATTTTTTTGTAGGCATATGCCATCTCAAGTTTAATAAAAATTATGTAGTCTTTCCTTTTAACTTTAAACTTTTCCATTAGCTGTTTTATAATAAAAATTGCTATTGTCAACTTGCCTTATATATGTATATCCAAATTAACTTTTATCTACTTTTATTTCTAGAAAGTTGAACTAATTTGTGTTAGATTTCACCATGAGGTGAAAAATTTTCTGAACAAAATTAAGCAAATGGTTACTGGAAATAACTATTTCAAATCAAATAAAACACTAAATAGCTATTTTTAAAATTTATTCTTTGAGGGGGGCCTTATTGGTGCAACAGGGAAGGTAAAACCCCTCTAAACCCTGCCTAGGACCCAGTACATTCCTATTTCAAAATACAACTCTAATATAAAAGTCTACAAATAACATAATTACTTAACATGATTTAAAATTCAGAGCTAACTTAAGCATGAATACATATATTTTATGAAATTTTACTATCACTAATCAAGTATACATATAATGTTAAATTAACTTTCTTGTAAATAAGCCTATAAAGCTATAATAAAAATCCAATACAGATACAAAAACAAAAAATACATGTGAGCTACAAGAATTGTTCAAATTTAATTTTTAATCAGTTTATTTTTTTATTGGAAGGAAAATATTGCTGCTTTTTCATTTTTTGTTTCTTTGTAAGATCCTGTTAATCCTGGAAGATGTTGGATAGTGTTTTCCTGGATCACATTTTTCTGTTCCAGCTTCTTTCTGATAAATTCATTAATTTCCTCCTCATGACTTGATTTGATAATTAAATTTTTCCCAAACACCTTGCAGCATTATCTAAAACAGAGTTAGTACCCACATGCTTACACAGGGTATTCCTCACCACATATTCAGCACAATCACACTGGTATCGATGAATACAAATTTTACACACTCTACAAAACAATGTCTTACACTCATTTTCACACAGTTGTCTTATACTTATATAATTTATTAGGAGCCTTTAAAGATTTTACCTGAAATTGTCCATACACCTTCACATTCTTCTTGACTTCCACTTTTTCTTTCATCATTTCTGCTATTTTGTGCACTTTTGCTATAACCCTGTCTTGATAGTTGTTGGCTTTTGGTCTTTCCATGTCTATAATTCTCTTCCACATTTTGATATAAACTAAATCGTCAATTGTGTCCAATAATTTTTCAATTCTCACTGCAGCATTTCTCCTTAGATGGTTGGTTTTTAATAAGTTGTTAAATGATTCAATCGCCATATTGGTATTCATTCCTGAATTTCTTCTGTAACAATGTGCCCACATTTTGATCCTCTCTTCATTCTGAAAGTAATACCTACAAAAAAATATACTGAAGGGTGACTTACAATGTATGATTTCATATATTTATTTACCCTCCCAGATAATTAAAAAATCAAGCTCATTTGCTTCTTGAAATTTTCTCCTTAGATGGTTGGTTTTTAATAAGTTGTTAAATGATTCAATCGCCATATTGGTATTGATTCCTGAATTTCTTCTCTAACAATGTGCCCACATTTTGATCCTCTCTTCATTCTGAAAGTAATACCTACAAAAAAATATACTGAAGGGTGACTTACAATGTATGATTTCATATATTTATTTACCCTCCCAGATAATTAAAAAATCAAGCTCATTTGCTTCTTGAAATTTTCTCCTTAGATGGTTGGTTTTTAATAAGTTGTTAAATGATTCAATCGCCATATTGGTATTGATTCCTGAATTTCTTCTCTAACAATGTGCCCACATTTTGATCCTCTCTTCATTCTGAAAGTAATACCTACAAAAAAATATACTGAAGGGTGACTTACAATGTATGATTTCATATATTTATTTACCCTCCCAGATAATTAAAAAATCAAGCTCATTTGCTTCTTGAAATTTTCTCCTTAGATGGTTGGTTTTTAATAAGTTGTTAAATGATTCAATCGCCATATTGGTATTGATTCCTGAATTTCTTCTCTAACAATGTGCCCACATTTTGATCCTCTCTTCATTCTGAAAGTAATACCTACAAAAAAATATACTGAAGGGTGACTTAAAATGTATGATTTCATATATTTATTTACCCTCCCAGATAATTAAAAAATCGAGCTCATTTGCTTCTTGAAATTTTCGTAAATATATATTGCATAAGTCTATAAATGGAGCTTCGTTAGTTTCAGTAATAATTCTCTTCATTTCATTTTTCATTTCTTTTTTCAAATTTGGATCCAGTATTTTCTTCTTCCCTTGAATGTTCCAACTTCTTACAACATGCCAGGTGCATAACAGCCTCCTTGGTCGCATGGATCTTCATCCATGCATTATAATATTTAGGATCATCATCACTTATGAAATGGTCTGCCTGAATTTCAGTCTGCATCTTATTCTTGAGGGCACCTAAAGGTTTTTGAAAATTATTCTTACCAGTCATAAATTGTCACTAGGTACTTATATAATACATACCCAAAAAATCTTCTTGAACTTGTTGGTCCAGTAATAATATTTCATTGCAGTTAATATATTTATTTAAACATACTTATTAACAAAGTCTCTAGGAATCAACAATGTCCAAAAACCTATATCTAACAATCGTGTTGACAAGTCGTGACCACTGACAACGAGTCTTCCTACATTGTGCCTAGAGCCCCGTGACCGTAATCATAACCTACTGATATGACATCTTTCCCTTACATTTGATAATCCTTAAAACGCACTGGAGCCCTTTTGAGTCTAGCGCTAGTTCTATTTTCAGCATTCATTTGGGAGGTTGAAGGTTCCTCTACTCCACAACTCTGATTCCCAGATGAGGAGTTTAATGATCTATCATTATGTGCAAAATCAGTATTCTTCTTAATTTCCGCTTTAACTAGGGAAGGCCTTAAGTGATAACTGTTTCGCCTGATGACTTCCCCATTTTCTTTCTGCACTAAATAAGATCTGGGTGCCTCATCCACTTTTTCCAGAACTTTTCCTGGTCTCCATTCTCTACCCTCTCGGACACCTACATTCTCTCCTGGCACTATTTCTCTTCTTACCTTGGTGTTTCTATCATAATAATTTTTATATTCGTTTCTTTTCGCCTCTAGTTTCTCCCACTCATCCTTTAGATTTATGTCTTTGTGCTTTTTATTTGATGGTAGCTTCGATCTAAGAACCCTGTTAGTTACTAATTGGGCCGGTGTTTTATCTGTTCCATTTATTGGAGTATTGCGATACTCCAGGAGTGCCATATCTAAGTCGTCACACTTTCTAAGCATGTTTTTTGCAATTTGAACGGCTCGTTCTGCCTGCCCATTAGACCGTGGATAGCGGGGACTGGACGTTACAAACCGAAAATCCCAGTCTTTAGCAAATTGCTGACAATGCCACGAATTATAAGGCATGTTATCTGATATGACTTCGTAAGGTATTCCGTGTGTTGAAAAAATTTTCTTTAACTCCTTGATGACCACCTGAGAAGTTTTTGAATTAATTTTCACTATATCGAGCCATTTAGAAAAATAATCGATCAGAACTAGATATGACTGTCCACCATAATCTAATATATCACTTGCTACCTTTTCAAAAGGTGCTTGAGGCAACTCTCTAAGTAATAGTGGCTCTTTAGCATTGTGACTTTTAAATATCTCACACTTGCTACAATTTCTTACCCAGTCTTCTATACTTTTGTTCATTTGTGGCCAATGTAATATCTGTCTTGCTCTCTGTTGGGTTTTCTGAATGCCAAAATGACTAGAATGCAATAATCTTAGCATGCTCTCTCTCAATATTTTTGGGACTACAACTCTGTCTTTGTAAAATATTAGTCCGTCAAGTAAATATAGTTCATTTCTTATATAATAATAATACCTAATTGAATCACTTACTCTTGACAGGGTTTTGGGCCACCCTTGTATACAATATTTCTTTACTAGTTTCAGATCCTCATCAGCATCCACTTCAGTCCTAAATTGCTCTCTCTTCTCATCAGTCATGTCAATAGTATGAACTATTTCTGTAATAAATTTATCATCATCCACTTTATCTTTTATAAAATTCCTCGATAATAAATCTGCCACATGCATGAACTTGCCTGGCTTAAATTTTACCTCTATGTCATATTTAGACAATCTTACCCTAATCCTTTGTAATCTTGGTGACATTATGTCCGCAATGCCTTTATGCATTAATGCCTCCAAAGGCTTATGGTCAGAATCAATTTGCACTTTTCTTCCATAGATAAAATTGTGAAATTTATTGCATGCATATAGGATTGCCAAGAACTCCTTTTCAATTTGACTCATATTTGACTCTGCTGTCGTTAGTGCCCTAGATGCAAATGCTACTGGTCTGTTATTCTGTAAGAGACAGCACCCCAAGCCATTACTACTGCTGTCAGTCTGTATCACAGTTGGTAACTTCTCATTGAAATTGGCAAGCACACTACTTGACATAATTACTTCTTTTATTTTATTTAGTGCATCAGAATGTCTATCTGTCCATACCCATGCATTCCTTTTTTTTAAGAGCTCTCTTAAGGGCGTAGAAATCTCTGACAAGTTTGGAATGAATGCCCTTAAATAATTTACCATTCCCAAAATTTGTTGTAATTCCTTTTTATTTTCCGGATCCTTCAATCTTCTTATCGCTTCTACTTTTTTGTTGTCAGCTCTCATCCCATCTTTATCAAAGATATGACCCAAGTATCTAACACTTTCAACGCAATACTGTATTTTGTTTGGGTTAAATTTCACATTTAGTTCTCTAGCCCTATCTAACACCTTATTTAGTGTATTATTATGCTCTTTTATTGACTCACCACAAATTAATAGATCATCGAAGTAGACTATACAACCTGGAATATCTGCAAAATTTTCAGAATTTAATTTCTGGAAGTATTCAGGTGCTATATTAAGACCAAATGGCAGGCGGCAAAATTTATATGTGCCAAATATAGTGCCAAAAGCACATAAATTACTGGATTGCTCATCCAGTTCTACTTGGTAAAAACCCTCCTTAAAATCTAGAACTGTAAAAAATGACTTACCCTGTAACATTGAACGAATCTCATCAACAGTAGGTATTATACAAAATTCCCGTTCCAATGCCTTGTTCAGGTCACGAGGATCTAGGCAAATACGTAATGATTTATCAGTTTTCTCAACAATTACCAGGTTACTAAGCCACTGCGTAGGACCATCAACCTTTGCTATGATTCCTCGCTTTTCAAGATCAATTAGTTGATTCTTAAGTTTAGGCTTGATTGTAAGTGGGACTCTACGAGGTGGCCTAGCCACTGGCACTGCATTTTCTTTAAGCTTTAAACTACATTTTTTCTGAAATTTACCTAAACCTAAAAAAATATCTTTATTCATTTCTACAAATTTTTCTTTAGAATGCAGTTTTATGTTATCAATTTTATTAATTAAATCAAGCTCTATGGTAGAACATAAACCCAAGATAGGTGTTGATCTCTCCTTTACAACAACAAAATCTAATAAATGATCAATATTTTTATATTTACAGACAAGTTTTATTATACCCAAAGGAATGATCTTAAAACCACCATATGTCTCAAGTATGATCTTAGTTTCTTTTAATTCATTAATTTTGCAAACTTTTTCAACAAAAACCTTGGGTAAAATGTTAACCTGTGCCCCTGTATCTATTTTAAAAGGTATATCAATGTTATTAATTTTTAAATTTTCCACCCAGTCTTTATTATTTTTATTCTTAATTTCATTAACAGTGATTGATGAAATCATGAAATTGTTTACTTCATTATTTTCACTTTCTTCCACTTGTACCTCTCTTACTAACCTACCATGATAACACACTTTATCAAAATGCCCATATTTACCACACTTTCTACACTTTTTTCCATATGCTGGGCACCTCCTTGGTCCATGGACACTCCCACAGTTTCTGCAGTTAAATTCACCTCTAGAAGAACTTGCACCCCTGACTGTTTGGACTGAATTATGCCCCTGCTTAACTTTACTTCCAATTGATTCAATTTTCACCTTCTCTAAGCTGTTCTGAACTTCTTTTATTTGAGCTTGGGATACTTCATGCATTTTACATATTTCAATAGCTTTAGTCAGATCTAAATTAATTGTTTTTAACATGCTTTGTTGTGCATCCTTACTATTGGTGCCTAATACTATTCTATCTCTTACCATTGAAAATGCTTCAACACCAAACTCACAATTTCTTACTTTATTTTTTAAATCTGTTAAAAAGTGGTCAAAAGGCTCTCCTTCTTCTTGACTGCGCTTATAAAACAAATATCTTTCATAAACCACGTTTTTTCTAGGAGTAACATAAGACTCAAATGCTTCCAATACATCTGCTAGCTTTCCTTGTTGGACCTCTGTTAATTCCAAACTGTTATAAATCTCAATGCCTTCTTCTCCAATTAAATTGAGTAAAATTGCTACTTTAACTTCATCACTTTTACCACTTTTTCCTGATGCCATCAGATATATTTCAAAACTTTGCTTAAATCTTTTAAAATTTTCGGCCACATTGCCTTCAAATGATAATGGATTTGGTAACCTTGCTTCCATGATTTTCGATTAATATCCTACTGACTGCGCCAAGTAATAATATTTCATTGCAGTTAATATATTTATTTAAACATACTTATTAACAAAGTCTCTAGGAATCAACAATGTCCAAAAACCTATATCTAACAATCGTGTTGACAAGTCGTGACCACTGACAACGAGTCTTCCTACATTGTGCCTAGAGCCCCGTGACCGTAATCATAACCTACTGATATGACAGGTCCAATATGTTTGATAATAAGAATGCAACTGGAAAACTTGCATTTTTGTCTTCCTTAATGAGAACTATTGTTAAGTCCATCCCTCTCTTATTAGTGCCATGTGTTCCATCCATACAAATTATGCTTGAGAATTTTCGTAATTTATCTTCCATTACAGAATTCATAAATTCTAAGACAAAATCTTCTTTTTTGAGTACTTCATGTTGTTCTCCTAATAAAAATAAACCACCAAAATTATAGTTTACTCAAAATTTATAGTTTAGAGATAATTCGAGATAAATGTTAAGAGACTGAATTTTTTTTGAATATTTTGATAATCATTACTTCTATTTTTTAAGCTTACTCTGTCAATTACAGTAGTAATAAGTAGATAATTTAAAACTCTCATAATTGGAGTTACCTAGTTATAGTACTGAGCCCATGATATGATAGATCTGAGGACAAAGGGAGATTTTGAACCTTCTGAAGACAAAACAAAAGAATCAACAACAGACTATAAAATAAAGCAAGTCATGAAAACATAAATGAGGAAAAGTAATCCTGTAAAAAAGCCATAAAATATGCACTTAAAAAGTATTAGGCATGGAGGAAAAACAAAGAAGTGAATGGTTTGAAGAAAACTAACTGAAATAAAAAACACAGGATATAACGCAGCAGTGACACAGGACCAGGTAAGTAAAAGCAGAAGACAAACAGCTATGAAAGGAAGAGAAACAAGTGCACAAAAAAAGGAGGGAAGTATAGATAGACAACAACTTCAAGAATTACAAAATCTAAGTAAAAGAGCAGTGGCAAAAAAGTCCTACATGAAAATAATCAAATGAAGAACAGAATTTAAAATTAGGACCATGAAGTACTGAGATTACCAGCATTACATTGACAAAACAACACGAAATAAAAATATGGACAGAACATTATAAGGAAAAACATAACAGAGAAAAAATCTCCCAACAACGGCTAAGATTTGAACAGCAATAAATAAACTAAAATATAATAAAGCAGCATCATCAGACTAAATATCATTTTAATGATACTGAAAGCAAACCACATATTATTGAAAAACTAACAATTACCTGATAAATGGAATACTGTATCATTACAAAAAGAAGAGACTAGTTGGAATACAGAAACTACCACAGAATCATGCTTCTGAACACAGCATGCAAGATACTGTCTAACATAATTTATGAGATCATATGCAGAAAAAGTTTTAGGCAAGTACAAATATGATTTCTGACAGCAAAAATTTTTTTTCTACAGTAAATTCTCAAAACAATTAAATGCAATATCAACAAACACAATATTATCATAGATGTTAAAAGTGAATATGATATCCTAAATGGAGGGTATCTAATCCAAACAATTACCCAAGGAAAAAATCTTAAACCACACATATAAATGAGTAAAAGAAAATTGTATACCAGGATCTGGATATCATAACATTCATACAAATGGGACAGCTTCAGTAGAAGGGACATGTCGAAGATGTAATACCTTCAAAAATAAATGTCAGCTGGACATAAAACAAGAGGAAGACTGAAGAGTATATATAAGGAACAAATAAAACATTACATGGCACTTTTAAAAATCAAAAATTTGACAAACATACTATAAAATACAGAATAGAATTGGGAGGTATTCTTAAATAGACCAAGAACCAAAAAAGTTGTATCAATGATGATAATAAAAAGAAAGTAACTTAAAACACTATAGTTAGTTAAGGGGTGAAAGTTGTTGATTTTGACAAGTGAGATTTATTACATGAGGGAGGCAAAGGTAACAAAGCAGTAAATTTGACCCATAAACTATCACCACCTCCACAATAAAATTAGCTATGTAAAAGGCCAGTAACTACAAACTTAGCAGTTATATTATTTAAAAATGTTTATTGCACACAAGATTAAGTAGTATAAATGTGGTAGGTATTAAAAATTTTTGGTGTTTACCTTCTTTCTTGAATAGGAAAGCATAATTCTTGTTAGCATTCCATTCCTGAAACTTTAAGGCTGTTGCTACCATATCATTTTGATCCTGTTTTTTGTGTATATTATACTTTCTGGACAAATTTGTGATATCTTGACTTGTTAATAGGGCAAGTCTTTCTAGTTTTGGTGTTTCCAATTTTCTTGAATCATTTAAAATTCTGCTGGGTGACACCCCAGATATTAACTTCTCTACAATCATTTTTTCTTGTGCCTTTGAGAGATGCATGGTTCTTAATTCTTCTTTATGTCCAGCATGTGTTTTCCAATAACTGATAGAAACTTGTCCTTGATCTCCCAGTGTACAGAGCAGCCTGGAAGGGCACAATCCTTTAATTTTAATTGATCCACCAGATTTCTATGTCCTAATTTTATGGTTGGGCCTATATCCTAAAAATAGACAAGAATAAGCTTTAATTATTACAAGTAACAAAGTATTGCACCTACCATTGATATTACTTCTGTTACACTCATAGTATAATATCTCATTTTCTGCATATCTTTCCATGTCTCTTATTCTTGTTTACTAGAAAATTCAAAAGGTATTAGTTCAATATTCACCTGGTGGTGGTCATTGAGATGTTTCCGTAACTTCTCATGACTTTCACAATTAGTTTCTTGCTCACATAACGGACAAACTATATCATTCATTTTCTTCTTGGATACATCTATGTTATGCATTCTTTTGATATGACGATTTCGTAATTTTACATTTTTAAATGTTTTGCTGCAAAGGTAGCAGGCCCCTGAGAGAATTTCAGAGCTTGTTGAAGTAGATGGAGTGCAGGAATCAATAATTTCTTGCTAAAAACAGAGAGAAAAAAATTTGTGTGCTTGGTGTTAAATAAAACCGCGGATAACCTCACAAATCATATGTTGTTGATAACATCGACTATCGAGTTAGAATCTAGATTCTAACTCCATGGTTGATAACGACTAATACCTCGTACCTGGCTGGTTTTACTGTAATCACTCTAAGTAAGACCCGTTTTTCTTTTATGTTCAAATCTTTACATTTTATCGGCTTTTTATATTTAATTTATGTTTTGTAGCAATATTTAATTTGTTTGTAATACACACAATCATCACACAATCAAATCGTAGATTCATATATATATTTCTTTAATTATTTTACAAATTACTTATACTTCATCTAATTTAGATAACGACTTACGTCATTATCTACGTCAGAGATCGAAGTTGACATAGTTGCCAAAGTATAAAAAAATCCTGACTCCATTTTAAATCAAATAGATTACATAATTATTCCAAAAGTATTACCATCTCTTTAGAACGACGATTTAAATTCTTACGTGACATTTTTGAAATAAAACACACTAATTTTGTTCCAAAAAGAACTGATTTTATTAGATAGTTAACAATATAAAACAAGAGATATTCACTTTAAAATTCAAAATAATGAAGTACAAAAAGTGTCAACACCGCAACTGTCAAATAAGTGTTACCAATTTATGCCAAAATTTTACCTTCGTTCGATTACAGTTACAGTGTGTTCCGAACAAATGTTTTTGATAAAAACGCTTTATAATGCATTTATACAAATTAAATGAAACATATTATTGTGTATTTCTTCAAGTTAACATTAATAAAAATTTTTAAATATGATTTCTACGCGTATATAATAAAATATGTCTAGTGGCTGTAATGTCAGTGTACTCGGTAAAGTGGTTCTAAAAAAGAACACACCTACACCCTAAATATTTTGTGTTGGTGTCATGTGACGCCACAGGCCTAGACGCCGATGACGTGCATCGTTATATAAATTAGATGAAGTGTATTCATTTTCAAAACACGTTTTCACAGAAAGTAAACTAGTTATGACTTCTAAGTGCAAGATATGGCATCGAGGTATACTTACCGTTAACAGTTTAAGTTTTGAAGTTGTTCATTACAGTAATGGAACAACGTTGCCATATGTTGCATCGTTAAAATATGATACAAACAAGTCCCCTGGCCTTGTCTCAGTATGACGCGATGCGCAAAGTCGATCAAAATTAGAACGGCAAGTGAGCATATCTTGTTTGTTTTAGCATTGTTTAAATAGTACTAGTTAGACAATCCTTATGGATGGAACAAATGTTTGACTTATAATCTTCCGTCATGTGGCGGCCTCTAGTCATAAATTTAAAAAACTATTAACAGAGACTAAATTCTCTGCAGGATTCTACTCGAGTATATTTTTAGGTGTCTGATAACTAATTCAAACTTGTACACGGATGCCAAATTGTGAAGAAAATATATGACTTAAATAAAATGCTTATTGTTATTATCGTCGTATACGTCTTGTGAAAGATAACTTGACTATTTCGAGCAATTATTTCAAATTGTTTTTATACTTTGAGACTTGCTAAATTTAAATCGGTCAGTAATCGATTTAAATGAAGTAGATAAATGCTGCCGTTTTTTTTAAAATTTTTATTAGTTTACCAGATATTAAATTTGGTTATATGATTTGTTAGAAAAGGATTAGATATTTAATTAAAATAGACTCGATTGCTATCGTCTTAGAACACTCATGCGGAGGTTTATTTTTTAGTCAAGACTAAAGAGAGATTTGGTCAAGGTTGTAAGACTTAAATTTTTCAATTAAGTTTTATCATTGTTTAAAAAAGAAAATCTTTTTAAAAAGTGGTTTTATGTACGTTTTGTGTAAATTAAATTTTCGATATTTTAATCTTTAAAATGACGTTTGGAAATATATTAATTTTATGGGTTTGGTTTTTTGATAATGGTTTTGAAACAATAAACAGATCGATATGCCACAAGAGGCAACATA